CGGTCTGCGGTCTGCGGTCTGCGGTCTGCGCTTGGCCGTGTGCCGTCGATTTGCGACTTTTTTTGGTGGGGCCGTCGGGGCTTCACGCACACCCTCTCTCTCGCCTTGAATACGAGAGCGCCGCTGAGTCCTCGCGACATCTTCCTTCGCTACCATCGCAACTCTCATTGCATCACTACACCAACACCAACTACACCCAACCAACGCAAACACTCCCGCCCGTGCTTCTCGCACGCTCTCATCGCATCCCCACCTGCTCACAATCGCTGCAGCTTCTCCGAACCTCTTGTTCCGTCCGCCAGCATTCCGAGCCTCGGCGCTTCTGATCAACCACCACACCCTGTCGCCATCTACTTGGGCAACGATCGAGACACCGTTGTTTTTATGTCTCTCCTCTCCTCCACCATACCTCGTCCATCCGTCAACTCGCCTTTCGCCCGCAGACAAAAACCGCCCTTTACGGTGATGCATCGTAGCTGTACCTGATACAACTACTTTCCTATTCCTTGATTTGATTTTGTCTTTTTTGCATATCTCGACCTTCCCATCGTCGAGACATTCCCCCCAATCGCCTCAACTCAAGCTTAAGCTCCAGCTTTAAGCCCAGTCCATCGCCATCATGTCTGTGGTCAACATCCGTCGCGACGTCGACGACAAGTTCTACCGCTACCGCATGCCCCTCCTCCAGACCAAGATCGAGGGCAAGGGCAACGGCATCAAGACCGTCATCCCCAACATGTCCGACATCGCCCGCTCCCTCAGCCGCCCTCCCGCCTACCCGACCAAGTTCTTCGGCTGCGAGCTCGGCGCACAGGTCTCCGCCGACGACAAGACCGACCGCTACATCGTCAACGGCGCCCACGACGCCGACCGTCTGCGCGAGCTCCTCGACGGCTTCATCGACAAGTTCGTCCTCTGCGGCGACTGCAAGAATCCCGAAACCGACCTCAAGATCCTCAAGGACGGCGACATCCTCCGCAACTGCAAGGCGTGCGGAAAGCGCACCGGCGTCGACATGAAGCACAAGCTCACCACCTTCATCGTCAAGCACCCGCCTCCCAAGCGCGTCAAGGGCGCCAAGGGTGCCGGCAAGTCCGCCGGCCAGGATGCCGGCGACGGCGGCTCCGACGACGAACTCACCAAGCGCATCAAGGCAGAGGCCGCCGAGATCCCCACCGCGGAGCAGCGCGGCAATGTCGACGACGACTGGTCCGTCGACACCTCCGAGGCCGCCGTCGCCGCACGCGTCAAGGCGCTCGAGGGCAGCGTCAAGTCGTCGCTCGTGCTCGGCGACGAAGAAGAGGACGAGGATGAGGACAGCCCGTACGCCCAGTTCGGCCGCTGGCTCGTCGCCAACCGCAAGGGCGGCGAAGAGGGCCGCGAGTGCTCCGCCGCCGAGGTGTACAAGAAGGCGCAGGAGTTCGGCATCGAGAAGAAGCACAAGACCGTCCAGGTGCTCGCACAGTCCCTCTTCACCGAGGACGCACCCAAGGAGATCGAAAGGTACGGCGCCGTGCTTGCCAAGATGGTCGGCGACTCGGAGAAGCACCAGAAGGCCATGCTGGGCGGCTTTGAGCGTCTCGCCGGCGTCCAGTGCCCGGCTCTCGTGCCCAACGGCGTGCCCAAGATCCTCATGGCGCTCTACCAGATCGACGTGCTCGACGAGGAGTTTGTCAAGAACTGGGGCACCCACGTGTCCAAGAAATACGTCGACAAGGACACCTCCAAGAAGGTGCGTCGCGCCGCTGCGCCTTTCCTCCAGTGGCTCGACGAGGCCGATTCGGACTCGGACGACGACGAGGACGACAGCGACGACGACGCCAAGCCCAACGGCAACGGCGCAAAGAAGTCGTCCGAGGAAGAGGACGACGACTCGGATCTCGACAACCTTTGAGTGGCATTCGCACGCCACCATAGGCCTGCAACTTTTTCCCGGCACCGTTCAGATTCTCGTTTCGAATCGAATCCTCACCGCTCCTGTCACTGTTTTTTTTCTCACAACTCATCAAATTGGTACACGTTTGGTTTCCTGACATCGGGCTGAGATTGCGGCACGGCTGGGGTGGATGCGAAGTGAGTGCAAGTGAAGATGTGTAGTGCGAGACGTTTGGACGGACTAAGGCTGGGACTCGACAGTGTATTGGAGGAGGTAGGCTGCCAGGGCGGGTTTGATCCATTCGTGTACCCACGGGGCGGCATCATGGATCACTGCAGCCATCCAGCCGGCGAGGGTGGGATAATACGTACGTCTGGGATGGTACGACGTGAGGGCCGATCTGATGCTTTCGAACAGGGGTGTTGGATTCTGGTGGCTCAGTTCGCGCGGATACGTCCGGGGCACACGCACCGGTTCGGCCTTTACATTGAGCAGGGTCACTGCCGGACCTGAGCTGGCAGTGGAAAAGGGAAAGTCGGCAGCATCTTCGTCGTCGTCGACCTTTTTGCTTGTTCCCGACCAGAGCTGTCGATGCGCAGAAGGTGCGTGATTCGACGAGACCGTGTACGGATGCAACAGCGACTGCGACGGTCCGGGCGTGGGCGGGCACGACGATCCAAGTGCAATGGGGTAACTTACTGCCGCCACATGTTCGGCTAAATCGTCCCAGGGGATGCAGCATTGTTCGATCCACCGCAGCACGCGGACTAAGCGACGCACCAATCGGACGAGGGCAGGAGCGGTCGAGTAGATGTCGTCTTCATCCCGAGCTTCCGAGAGGGGTCGAACCCAGCCGCGCAGGAAAGGGCGCAGCTCAGCAGGGATGTAGATGCCATACCTCGCTCCATCTGGAGGTGAGGCGTGGCTGTCTTCGCCTCGAAGACGGCCGAAGCGCGCGATGAAGGGCAGACGATCAAGCAGACGGGCGGGTTGCAAGAGGTCGCGCCATCGCCATGCCATGCGCTTGCGCGTGTTGAAGAAGCGAACGCTCTCGTTCCACTTGACCATCTTCTTGAGTCGCGTTTGCGGCAGCCGCACCAGCGCATTGGTTTCGATCGTCGACACATGCACGTGCTTGGCGCTTCCACCGCGTCGCTTGTACTCGAGCTCCATCTCGCGGTACTGCGTACGCAGCGCCTCGCGCACCGTATTCACCACCGCCCCCGGCCACGTCTTGAGCACGGGCATCGTATCGCGCTCGGGCATGAGATCGGCACTGGACGACGAGCCCGAGTGCGATCGATCCCGTGCCTTACCACTACCATTGCGCGATGGTAGCGACTGCAACGACAGTGTATCTGGATCGTGTGGCAGCTCCGGGCCATATCCACTGGGGACCAGACCAAGGATGCGGCCTTTATCGCGCTTGAGTGCGGGGAAGAGTACGTTGATGAGCGCCTTGGCCTGCACAACGTCGGTGGCGAGTGCAGAGTGGAGGGCGGCCTGGTGGTCGTCCTGGGTGCGCACGATGCGTGCACTCGTCGGCGAGAGCGGTGGCGATGCAGCATTGAACGACGACGAGTCCATCGATGCGCCCAGATCCGATGCCTCGCGCCATGCCGGTGCCAGACCAAACGGATCGCGCGGTCCCGTCAGCCCCGCACCCAAGCGTCCGGTCGAGCCCGAAGCAGACGCACGCACCTCGCCCCACACGTCGCGGTTGCACAGGCTGAACGGATCCACATCGCTGTACGCACTCCCGGGCGTCTTGGGCATGTCGGCCCGAGCGGCTTTGGTGAGCGGCACATTGCGCGGACACAGCACCGACGGAACCAGGATGACGCCGCTGAGCAGCAGATCGTGCGAGTTGCAGTACGCCGAGATGGTCGAGTTGATCATCGCCAATCCGTCGGCCGTCTGCACATCCGCCATGATCGGGATGATCGTCCCCGCAGGAGTCGCCTTGGGGCCGCTACGCCCCGGCATCCAGCCCTTGAGCATGTCGATGCCGTATCCGAACAGATCGGGCGTCGCCCACGCCGACCAGCTGCGCGACCTCCTCCTGCGCCGGTTGATCTGGATCGGCGGTGGTCTCGACTTCCTGCTCGCGCGCGGAGTCTCGTCGCCCCTCGGTCCCAGCTGGGCCGAAGGCGTTGGGCTTGGCGACGAGGGTTCGGACCGATCCGCCGACGACTCTGCATCGAACGTGTGCGTAGTCGATGTTGGCGACGATGGCGAGCTGGAGCTCTCGGAGGAGCGACCCGCCTTCTGCTTGAGGAGCGCCTTTTCTATGCGCGCCTTTTTGGCAGCCCACTGCGCGACGGTGATGGAGAACTGGTCCGAGTCGGCATGCAGCACAAAGCACGTATACGGTGCGCGCGGGTTGCGCTTCGTCGGCCCCACATCCTTGAGTGCAAAACTCGAGGGCGAGCCGGACGAGAGGCGCAGCGCAACGTAGCGCGCGACGGCGTCGTTGTGCGGCGCATAGATGACCACCGCCGAGCCCTTGGACGAGTCCCACCATGCGCGCGACGCCGGCTCGTACGTGTGCAGGAAGAAAAAGTAGAGCAGCGTGTGCAGGTGGCACAGAAACGCCTCGAGATACAGCGAGACGGCGGTGGCCCAGGATCGGATCCTGCGCACCGTCGGCGAGGGGGCAAGCGAGCCCCTGAAGGTGTACATCGCCAGACGGCTTTGAAGCAAAGGTCCAGTGGGTCTAGGTGATCTAGTCTAGAGATCGATCATCGAGCGCAAGGGGACGATGGTGGCCTTGAAGGAGATGAAAGCAGAGGGCGGGACGTAAAGGGAAAACGGATGTCTAGCTGTATGTGGACGCGCTGCTTCATCAGCGACTGCACCCGTCGAATCCACCAAGAAACGTCCAGAGTGAGGAGCGGAACAAGTCGAAAGTCTGGCGGAGAGGGACGGTGAAAAGATGCAAGGAAAGAGGATGGAAGACGGAATGCTGCTCGAGTCGCACGGTCCGCCTTTGTACCCGGTGGCTTTTCCAGCCGAGTCCGGTGCGAGGTGTGCAAGCTGTGCGACTCGCAAACGGTGGTAGCCGGCTGCCGCACACACACTACGGCTTGGCGCTGGCTGTGGTGTGCGACAAAAATGCCCATGCAGGGTCCAAACGCTCGCGCCCCGAGCACCGCACTCTCAACGCCATCCCCGATGCACTGTACCTCTCCCGTCCGCCACCAGCCACCTTGCGATGATCCAAACGGGCAAGTGCCTGTCTTTGGATTTGCAAGCCGGATGCCGGCTCGCCTACACAGTCTGCATCGCTCGTGGCTTGGACGATCCGCTCCGTGTGTCCGGCATCGTAGAGCTGCTGATTCGGTTACATAAGGGCACCTAGGTCTGAAGAAGTAGACTAGGAGCTGTGCTTCTTCTTTACGACCCGGCAGCACGACACGAGGGCTGACGGGCGGAAAGTCGCTCGGAGCTTCCTCGGTGGTGACGGTGGCACCGGATCGACCGTCTGCCTCACGTGATTCTCCCCGCCCGTTTGACTCGATGCCAGCTTGCACTCGGAGCAGGCAAGGTTCACCGTACCCCTTTGCTGCATATGCATCTATATGCCCATCGGACGGACGTGAATCCACTTCAGCATGACGAACTACCTCTCACTGCGGCCATTGGCGTTGCCCTTTTCATAGCCTACCAGAACTCAGCATCGAGCCTGGTTGCAGAGCGGCGTAGCGCTGTCGCAATGATGTTTGGTTGTCATTTTAAAAAAGTGTGCGCTTTGCGCAAGCGCAACAGTCGAGCCGCGTTGCTGAGATGGACTCTTGACTCATGGCTCGACTGCAATCTGACGCATCAGATCTTGTACTCGACCGCGCCGAGCACGCCGAAGCACACATAGGTGGCCTGGATCAACAGAGCTGCATGCAACAAGCGGCAAAAGAAGAAAGTCAGCCGAGGCAATGATCGGAGCAGCTGCAGAAGAGAACCGACTCACCAAGGAAGCTGAGGCCGCCAAAGATGCCGCCGAATGCGCGCTTGCTGGGGGTGCCCGAGTAGTAGCCGATGGCATACGGGATGCGCGACACCACCCACGTCGCCGCAAACGCAGCCGTGAGGCGTGGGAAGAAGAATCCGTTGAAGAGCGTGAGGAAGATGAAGCTCGTCAGGTTCTCGAGCGTGTTCTGATGCACACGCTGGGCGCAGTTGAACAGATGCGCGTCGCGGTTCTTTTCCGCCACCGCCTTCTCGGCGTAGAGATAGGGGTAGGGCACCTGGGCGGCTTTGCGAGCGCTTCCCACCTTGACTCCCATCAGAAAGGTGACCCAGAGCGCCGAAACGACGGTCGAAACCACATAGCCGTAGCCGACGGGCAGGAAGAGCCCCTGCGCAACCGCCTGTTTGGGAGCCAGAAAGTGGTAGAACGCCGGGATGGATGCGGTGAGCGCAGGAAGCGCAATGCTTTTCGACATGATGGCAGAGACTGAGTTTGAGTTGGAGAAGCGGGATAGAGATGAAGGGCGGATGCAGAGGTACGAAGCCAAGGGACAAAAGGTGGGCCGATGCAGCCGTTGACGAAGCTTTGAGTTTTGATCGGATGACGACACCCGCATGGCCACGGACTTAGTGAGGCTTCTTCGCGGTGAACGGGCCAACGCGCAATTCTTCCACGCCTGTCCAGAAATGCGGCGCTCCTCCACCCACGCGCAACCTCGCAGCTGTCACAACTCTATCGCCGTCGTCACACGCAACCAGCCAATCCTGCCTCTTTGGACTGCCTGCGCATCGTAGGGATAGCACCAGACCAGATTCGCAGCCTTCCGTGTGGGACTCTGGTCTGGTGCACCAGGGCGCTGCGGCTCAAATGAAGACTCGGCGGTCCCACTCAACTCTGTAGCCCGACCGATGTGACACCGAGCGGACGAACCTTGTTCGCACCTAGGCCTTGAGTGAGCATCGCCCGTGCTGGCGCGCTCGGCACACGAATACTTTGCCAGTGACGAAGGGTACGTGACTGTAGAGAGAGTACACGGGTCGACTGGAATGAAGGATGACGAGTCGACGAATTGCATTCGGCGAACTCTGGATTGCGCGACTCGACAGGAAGCGGAGGGCAAAGTAGGTCACTCTCTCCTGATCCATCTTTCCTTCTTCCTCGTCTTCTCTTCGATTCGTATCTTCTTCCCTCTATCATCGGTAGTCATAAATGTCATCAATTTCCTCGGTCAGTATGATCTCAGATCGCCATGGCACTCGACACACACGAGACATGGCCAAGCGTATCGAAATTGTTCGTATTAACGGAAACTGCGACGAGGGCGTGGGCAGCGTGTATGGAAGGGAGCTCTACGACGTGCGTCGGAGCTCGGAGCCCACAAAGAAGTACAAAGGGTCGGTGGATTGGTCAACGACAAGCATCTACTGCTGCGAGTAGATCTGCTCGGCCTTCTCAGCCGACAGAGGGATGTCGACAACGGCGGGGCCGGCAACGGTGTTGTCGTCCGAGACCGAGTCGCCCGACTTGGTAACGACAACGTAGACACGGCCGTAGGCGACCTCCGAGGGGACGGTCACGCTGCCGTTGTCGCCGATGGGGGCGTAGTAGACGTTGAGGCCGGTGAGGAAGGCAGCGAACTGGCCCGACTGAACACCGTCACCCGAGATGGTCACCTGCTTGCCACCGCACACGTCGCCCGAGATCGTCGCGGCGGGGAAGGCCTTGACGGGGAGGGCGGGGTTGCTGTCGGGGCAGCTGGTGATCAGGGGAGCAGCCAGCGAGTAGGTCTGGTTGAAGTTGAGCGGCGTGTCGAAGCCGGCGGCGAAGCCATCGCCCTGCTGGACGGACGAGGCAACCCAGCTCGCGTGACGGGCCTCCACGGTGAGGATGGAACCGGCAGCCGTGAGATAGGCAACGTTAGTGATGTTCTGGGCGGCGCCGAGGTAGGCCGAGTTGCCGATGCCCTCAAGGAGAGCAGAGGTGGCGACAAAGGTCTTGACGTCGGTGATGCCGAAGTTGTAGGTGCACTCCTTGGTGGCCTGATCACCGAGGGCCTTGGAGAGGAAGTCGACGTGGGCCTTCTCGTGGCCGCCGATCTCGACGAAGCGCTGGCGCACCCAGTCGGGGTAGCCGGCGGCGCGGAAGGCACCAGCGTCGTAGGTGGCGAGGGTGTCGCGGTAGAAGGCGTTCTCGAGGTGCTCGAGGGTGAGGGCGTAGTTCAGGATGACAGTGTCAATGTCGGCCTGGCCGGGAGCGGCACGCTTCTCGACAACGGGGGCGGCGGTGACCGCGGCGGCGGCGGCGGCAGCAAGGACGGCGTACTTGGTAAGCATTTTGAAAGGGAAGTTGAGACCGAGGAGGGGAGTTGAGACAGAGGAGGGGAGTTGAGACCGAAGAGGGTTGTTGGGAGGCTGGGTTAGAGATGGGGATAATTAGATTGAGGATGACGGCGAAAGTTGTCAGCTTTTTGTACCTTCGGAGATGCTCAGGGTGGATGGACTCTGCACATCTGGACGCACCACGGGGAGGAGGGCAGGAGCCAGTGGCGAGCTTGCCGAGACACTGCTATTGCGCTGCAGACGGCACGAAGGACGAGGCTGGTCCGCTCTCAGCTAAGCTACTACTGCTACGAGCGCTCATCAAAACACATGACATTGGCCTCTTTCTGTGCGCTTCGCACACCGCTGCCGATCCGACCCCGTCTGGCCTCGGTTCGCCTCTTCTCTGAACAAGCCTCTTGGTTGCCGGTCATGCTACTGCAGTTCCTGCGCTGCCATGCAAGCCGTCAATCCCTCTTGGCGTGCCGAGATTCTTGCTTCTGACGGTGAGCTGGGCGAGATGCGCATGGGATGCACTTGGCACATGCGCGGGGCTGTGTCGGCGAGACGTTGGCGAAGCATCTCACGGCGACTCGATTAAGGCCACGACATGCTCATGCAGGCGGAGAGGAAGCGCTTGGGATCCAGCCGCCGTATGCGACGCAGGAGCCCATCATGGCGCCATCGACAGCTGAATGCATCGGGATTTGCCCATTCCGTTGGACCTCTTGTTGTTTCTCTCGTGGAACAGACGCCATTTTTGGGGCACGAAAGCAGGACCAAGTGAGCTAATCCGGCCTACCTGCACGGGACCCATCCGTCGAAGCTGGACGAACGCAGCGCAATTCAAGGTCAGCACGTGCGGGTGCAGGACGAGGAATGGGAACCGCCTGCATTGAAAAGAAAGAGGCAAGCACGTCGGACTTTCGGATGGGAAGGGGCGGACTTGCAAGTATGGAATAAGCGAGCATGGGGCGAGGTGCATACGGACCACGGAAGGGACGAGGAATTCGGCGTGCCCCCTGTGTGCATGGTACCTTCGGGCCGAGCCAAGTCACCCTGGGCCCGACTTTGCAAGGAAAGTGATGGAACGAAAAGCAAGACTTTTCCATCGACTTGCCGAGGTGAGGGGGCCAAGCGAGCGGCACGATGACCACCAAGGTCGCTGCGGAGAGCGAGGGAGGAGGCAAGCGGAGGGGAGAACCAGGGTCTGGGGGCGGCGATGGGGTGCTGGGGTGTGTCGATCAGCTGAGTTGGACAGACGATCGTCGGTCAGCATTTGGCTGTCGGCGGGGTGTATTTGGACCAAGATCACCTGAGATTCCGCGACGGCTGTCCGACCTTGGCTGCGGCGGACCAGAAGCCGGCCCGTGTCGCATCCAGCATCTAAGCGAGCCCGGCCATTGTGAGTGCAGCCTCCACCCTTGTCCCACCGACGACGCTTGGACTGGTGCCAAGCGTTGAGTGCCAAATGCCTTGGCTTGTTTCTTGGCCTGTCTCACGAGCCAGGTACTCTTACGGCATTGTCCTGCCTGGTGTCGCTGGTTGACGAATGCGACTTGGATGGTGTGGGAAAAACCGACGTCTGGCGACTCGAATGCAGACAGGGATCTCTCCACGTGCGGCGCCTTTGTTTTTTCAATGCAGTAGCCTTGCACAGACTCGAATCGTGCAGCTGCGTAGAACAGCCTCTGCTGCTCAACGCCAAGACAAGTCGGTGCGATCCTCAGCTCGACACAAACGAAAGTGAACAAGGGATGACGCTGGGTGGAGCACGTCGTGTCTCGCGGGCTGCGCGGATGGGAGAGTGCATGGGAACAAAAGCGCCTCGAGCGGCACCGAAGCGATGGTCATCGCAAGCGAGCACCAACGACTCGGCGCGAGAGAGAGTGCAAGTTGGCCGAATGCAAAACATGCGACGGCAGGCAAGGCAGCAAGCGTCTTTGAGGCTCCGATGGATGCCTGCGAATGCAGAGGTGGAGAAACTTAGTGCGGAGTCACCAGGCTGTGAAAATCAGGCACCGACCTGAGGGAAAAGGGCGTGTGCAAGCGAGGTGAGGCTGGGCATCGGAGGGAAAAAGTGGGATGATTTCGCAAGCCGCTGCCTGCCGTGCACCTTTGGCGGTGTTGTGACGATGCGGCGATGGACGGGGCTTTGGGATGCGGGGGCAGGAGGGGGGAGAGGCATGGATCACCAGCTGCACGCCAGCTGCACAGCACTCAAACGCCGGATCTCGCCCCGGGGCCTGAGATGCGCAGAGGTCGGAGCGGAAGGCGCGTGAGCTGAGGCAATTGGCGCACGCGCGTCGGCGAATGGATTTTGACACTGCAGCTCACCGCCTCGTACGTCCGATGGCGTGCATGCAAGCTGTGGAAAGCGCGCAGCCCTGGCCCCCAAAATAGTGGGCCTGCTCCCTCCACTTGGCAAAGGGCGTATGCAGAATGCGGCGATCCTCAGCCGCATCCTGCATATTCGGCTGCGTTTGGACTCGGCATTTGCTTCCCCCCCTTGCCTTGCTGCTCCGCTCACGCCACAACACCCCGTCCATTCCTGGAGCCCCGAGCAGAGCTATGCCCCTCAGCAGGTCACAACACTCTGGCCTTGAGTCGAAGCAGCCCAATTCCATCGATGCCCGATGAACGAGCTTTGCCGATCACCAAGATCTTCCACAGGGCAAGGGTCAATGGATGAGCAAGAGTGGATGCGATTGCGAATGAGGTTCCTAGGCAAGGTAGCGGTAGGTGCCCCGCTGGCCCTCGACTCGCTCCATGTACTCCTTGTCGATGAGGATCTCGAATACCTTTTTGATCTCTGCGACGTCGACGGCGAAGCGGCTCTTGATCTGGTCGACGACTTGGGTGATGAGCTCAGAGTGTTTGATCGTCTTGCGCGCCTTGAGCACACGCACGGCTGCGGCCTGGAGGATCAGCTCGCGGTCCAGAAACACACGCTGTTCGGTCGACTTTTGCTCTTCGGCAGTCTCCTTCATCTGGATCTGGTTGATCCGGATGCGGTGTCGCTCGTTCTTGAGTGCATCGTTGACCATGAACTCGTCGTCGTCATTCACGTCTTTACCCTGGGGCATCTTGCGCAGCACGCGCGTCGGGATCTGTCCACACGCCAAACTCTGCAGCGTACGCTTGAGCTCCTGATCATCCAGTCGAGTCTGGGTGCGGATATCGGCGTAGCTCAACTTGGCCCCCGGAGCGAGCGCACCGAAGAGCAGCAGGACCACAGCTTGGAACGTGCTTACTTGCAGCTCCTTGATGCCGGCCTTTTCAAAGTGCGCGGTGATGGAGAGTGTGCCGAGCGAGTGCTGCCAGTGCAGACGTCGGCCGCTGTTGCGGTTCTGGTAGAAGGCTTCAAACTGCTCTGCGGCCGCTGCGAGCTCAGTGGGGAGCACCACGTCGATGTTCGGATACGTAGGCCAGTGCGCCTGCGTCAGCACGCTCACGTGCAGGTCGAAATCCGCCGCACCTGCCTTGGCCTCGGTCCGCTGCTTGGCTGCAAAGCGTCCATACTCGTCCATCAGGTCCTTGGATACGTCGACGTCCTTGATCATGGTTTCGAGCTTGGCGGTGAATTCGGGTCCGCACTCGTCCTTGAGCCGGAGCAGCATGCTGCGCTCTGCATCTGACGAGGCCGAGCGATTGAGCAGCAGCCGTTTGGCAAAGTGGCGCTTGTAGAACTCTTCGAACATGTCCTTGGCGTGCGTGTAGCGGAAGAGGATGAGCGCCTCGTCCAGGCTGTGCTCGAGCTGCTGATCCGTCATGGTGCGGTTGCCGCTCCGCAGCTTGGCATCCACGAACTTGGCGATGAGTTCGGCCGGCTTGTTCTCGCGCCGGTTGACAAAGACTTCGAAGCTGTCCTTCTGCGTGTGCACAAAGTCGCCGTCGTGCGCAAAGCCGGTGGAGACAATGGCATCGATGAGCGCCTTGAATTCGAGCAGCCGCTCGATCATGTCGTCGTCGCGCGCGCGGTCGTTGACAATCGCCGCACCGTGCTGCTTGATGTACTCGCCGAACGCCCGGCGCAGCTCGGGTAGCCGACCGATGCTCTTGATCAGCCCGTACAGCCGCGCGAGGCCGTCGAGCTGCTGTGCGGCGATGAGGTCGGGCAGACCCGCAAGCAGTCGGCTGGCATGTTCGGCAACAAGCTGCTGACGCGCGGCAGCGACATTGTCGCGACGTCCCTGGTCGGTGACGAGACACCACTCGCTGCGCTGCCCTTCCTCCGAGATGCGTCGGTCGGCATGGCCCACGTATGCGATGGGCGAGAGCGTGGCGATGGACGCCGCCGACTCGGCACGATAAAAGGCGGTGGTGGCCGCGACGAGCGCATCGTCGAGCGCGTTGTCGGCATGCAGCTGGCGGAACATGGCCGCGATGCGGCTGTGGAGCGAGCGGTACTGAATCGAGACCTTGCGCTCGCCATCCACCGCCGCCACAATACGGTCGAGGATCAAGCGTGATAGAGCCGCATCGCTCAATACGCGGTGGCCAAAGATGTCCAGACCCAGGTCCCAGATGGATAGGCGGCCCGTGTCGTCCGTGGCTGCAGTGGTGGCAGAGGCGGCAAGCACCGAGGGAGCGGAGCTGAGCTGGAGAAAGTGACGGTCCAAGGGAAGCAGCACGTCTCGAACGAGGCCGAGGTTGGTGCACCAGCTGGACCAGATCGACTCGAGCTGGGTGAGCCACGAGACGGTCGCCGAGAGCGACTCATCGTCCGAGCTCGAGCCGGAGCTGTGCAGCGACCGAGCATAGGCGCCCGCAGCGCGTTCAACTTCGATCTTGATGCTTTCGTAAAGGTGGTCGAGCGACTCGGGCGTCGAGAACTGCACGAGCGTGCGCGTGGTGGTGTAGAGCGACTCGAGCGAGGCGCCGCCCGTCGATGCGGACGACAGGAGCATGCGCACGGAGCGAACCAGCTGCGTAGTAGCTTGCTGTGCATGGTTGGCGGGCGGCAGCGTCGCCTGTGGGCGGAAGGAGGCTACGTTGATGCGGATCTTGACGTCGCCATCGTTCGCGGGCGTCTTGTTGGCAGATGCCTGCGTTTTGGCCAAGAAGGCGGCAAGTCCTCCTCCGCCAACAGCAGTGTTTCCCAACGAAGGATTGGACGTGGGGGCGCCAGCATTGCTGGCTCGCGAGAGCAATGCCTGCGCCAGCGACATGATGGCGTGGCTCGATGTGGTGGTGCCGGGCAGAGGTGGAGCGAATCCGTTTCCCGGCTAAAGGCGAGGGGACGTGCGCGCAGAGGGAAAAAAAGAAAAAGGAAAAAAGTGTTAGAGCGTAAGATCGCCGAGCTCGACACAGTCAGCATTGGGCAATCCAAGCGCAAGCGCTGACTGACCGACTAAAAAAGTGGAGGAAAAACGTAAAAGGCCGATCCGAGCTGAACCCTGAGAGAGGCTGAGGAGGAGCAGCCGCAGAAGCAGCAGCAGCAGCAGCAGAGCGTGATCGAGTCGGAAGTCGGTTTTTTCGCAACGCACTTTCCACTGCAGGAGTTCCTCAGGCTTGCAGGGCAGCCAAAGTGGAATTGGTGAGAAAATCGGCGCTTTGTGCGGAAAGCAAGTGAGCGGCTCGCTGAGCTGCTGAACTGCTGTTGCGCTGCTGCTGAGCCTCTGCGCTTGGATCCTCGATGCGCAAGCAACAGACGTGAGAGGCTCGCTTCCGCTGTTTCATCTGGCGTCCAAGGTGTTGCTCTTCTGCTTCGACCCCCCCACCATCCCTCGCTGCGAATCGCTGCTGTTCTCGAGCATCCTCACTGGCTCATTGGGATCTACACTCGCAACAAGAGCTGCTCAGGCTGCTGCTCAGGCCGCTGCTACAGCTGCTGCCACTTTCACCTCTTTGCATCTGCATACCCTCGCTCAAGCATCCGATCCTTGGCGCATCACATCACGGCGCAGTCTCTAGCCGTCCGCAAAGGCGTGGGTGTCGCCTGCCCTTGTAGCCTCTCCATCGCACCCATCAGAGCGCTGCCAACATGAAGATCACAAGGACGCCCAAGCGTCTCGCTGTCGCTGTAAGTCTTGCCGCCTCTCATCATTCCTGACCTCGACGCACGCTGATCCATTTCTAATCTTGATCCATCTGCACAGGCACCCGAGGTGCTTGCTCTGCAAGAACGCATCAACAAAGCCACAGACGACGAGCTGCCAAGCGTCCTCGACAGCATCTCCGAGTGGTGCTGGCCAAGAGGCGACCTCTTCTACTGGACCGCCGTCCTCAACCGTTTCGACCTCATCCTCGAATCCGTCTGCCGCGACTATGAACTCGCAAAGATCCAGGTCAACGACTTTACGCCCCTCACAAAGCGCCTCGTGCTCAGCGTCCTCCGCTTCTCCCGCCTCCTCATCGAGAATTGCACAAATCGCAAGCTCTAC